AAGAGAGTGAATGTATAAACATTCCTTCTCCAAGTGATTGTCCTATCAGAATTGTTTTATTTATATTYCATATTTCATTTGATTACTTTATAGAAATTTGATTTTATTTGTCATTGAAAGTCTGTTTTGTTTTTAAGAAATATAATTTATATGGACAGTCATTGAAATATGTCAATAATAAAAGCATAAAACCATCCAAGGGGTAACTATGTTTTGTGGGTACTATACTTGAGGGTTTTTGACAAATTAAAATATAATAACATTAATTACAGTATTATTGGTAAAATACCAGAGTTTTCCCCTAGATATTTTGTAATGAAACGTCAGCATCTGCTAAAAAAAATGAAAACCCTGTCACAGATGGGCTTTTGAGCTTTTAAAAAACACATTCTGAGGGAGAGTGTTCTAAGTATGTTAAATGGGTTAAGCCTACAGTTTAATTTGCTTTTGCATAAAAATAAATGGGTTTAAATTGTATCTTCTTTTTCCATGTGACAATGGTTTTGTCACAGTGTGGTTTCTTGCATGTTCATGTGTAACTGGTCTGTGGCTGTGTCCAAATTCTGGAGCAGCATCTACCAAAGGCCYAATTTGTCCAAATTCAAAGACTCCTCTGATGCGGCCGAAAAATGCATCCTCCTTTTCCCCCGATTTGTAGGACAGGCCTGGAGGATCCTTCACGGCCCACCRTATCCTATGATGCATTGTGGGCTGACCAGAGACATTTTTTCAGCTTGTAATGGCGGACAAAGCGAGAGATAGGAGTACAGTTTCAAATAAAAATCTGCTGGTATAAAAAGTGAAAGTTTCAAGCAGTTGTGTTGTTAAGGCTTGTATCATTTGTTTAGACGTTTTAATATTATTCTTGTCAGAAACCAAATGAGCTGGTATAAGCAAAATGCGGATGCAGCAGTTTAGTTCTTCAAATATTGCATTTAAGCTAATTTTGTTATTTTATAATATTAACAATACCAATATATTGATATTTTTGCTAATTTCGGTCAATTTTTGCTTCTGTTTAGCGTCGTCCAATTTATTATTTTTTTGAGGGGGTGGAGGTTGGCCTAATTCCTCCACAGCACCCCCTACAAATATTTTAAAAATCAGCCCCAAAGCCATGCTAGAAGCATGAAATTTAGTACACTGTTTAACATCTCACAATCTACAAAAACGTCTCTTGGAGTCATGGTCCAGTCCCCACTGGAAGTTGACCATTTTGGATCAAACTGCCAATTTGTCTCTTTTCTTGCACATGTATCTGAGCTAACTCCCCCTACAGCAGAACATGCAGACTTCACATGCTGCTTGCTGACTGGTGGTGGGATGGTGTGGGTGTGGCACAGTGGCGAACGCTGACGCCTCACTGTTTGTACACAGTTAGCTCTTAATCACACACACATGATCCAATATGCACCAAATTTTGTGTGCATCATAAGGGAGAGTTTGTGGAGTAGTCTGACAAGAAGTCTGTCTGTCGATCAGACCAGAAGTTCAATTACCTTATGAGATGATTTAAATAACGAAGTCCCTGTGATGGATTTGCGACCTGTCCAGGGTGTACCCTGCCCCTCGCACTGTGACTGCTGGATATGGGCACCAGTGACCTCTGTGACCCTGAAAGAAAGAAACGGGTATGGATGGATGGATGGATGGATGGATGGATGGATGGATGGATGGATGGATGGATGGATGGATGGCCTGTGATGATTCCAGCAAAACTGCTAACGGTCACTACTGAATGGTGATGGGGGACATCAGCGATGTACGAGATGCAGCCCTGTGTCCTCACATACTGTGGGCGGTGCGTGAGGTAGCCTAGAATCCACAGGGATGTTGTGGTCCAGTCCAGACAGCTCCAACTTGTCCCTCAGAAGTCCTGGCTGGATGGTGTTGAAAGCACTGGAGAAATCAAAGAACAGGGTCCTCACAGAGCTTCCAGGCTTCACCAGGTGAGTCAGAGCTCGGTGCTGCAGGTAGGTGATGGCATCATCCACCCTGATGGTAGGCTAGTAGGCAAACTGCAGCTGATCCAATGAAGACGTCACCTGGTGGTGTAGGTGGATYAGGACCAYTCTCTCAAGGGTCGTCATCAGATGTGACAGAGCTACCAGCCTTTAGCTGCTGAGGTTCTTTTGGGTGTTTGGTCTTTGGTACCAGTACCACACAGGAGGTCTTTCATAGTTGTGGTGCTTTCCCCAGCTTCAGGCTCAGGTTGAACATAGTTCCCATGATGCCACACAGTTCATCTACACAGTCCCTCAGGAGCCTGGAGCTGATACCGTCAGGACCCACAGCCTTAAGCCTGAAACATACTCGCTCCGACGCGACGGGTCGACGCGCGGTCACGTGYTTGATCGGCAGTCGTTTTCGCACAGACTTTTCATAGTTACTGAGACACCCCACTCCAAGCTCAGGAAACCCCCTCCCACTGAACCTTACGTCACTGCATGGAATTTCCCCGCGCAACAGCCAACAATCACTGCAGGAAAAAAAAGACGTCACTCACCTGACATATTTGTCCACATCTGTCCTGGTTGCTCCACGGTTTTTATCAGTCAGATTCCTCCGTGCACATCTTTTTTATCTCTATTCATGAGTTTTTCATGGTATGACTATCTTTATAAAACTCTGCTTCCTGGTGTCGGCTCTGGGAGCGAGTCTGGGCCCCCCCCCCCCCCCTTTTTTTTTTTTTTTTTTTACTGAGTGCAGCAGCGCGTATTGAGCACAAACAAACAAGCCATAAGTTTTTCACGGTTTGACTATATCTCTTTTTCCTGTCTTCCCGGTCTACCAAGGACCCGGCCCACCTCGACAGGGCAGTCTGGGTCCTCCGCAGGAGTCTTTTTTAATAGCTTGACTTCTCTGAATGATGTCACAGCTGATAAGGTACTATCAATAGCTTTTTGATGAACATCACTTTAACCCTCTAAGGTCGATGCCCGCTCCAGAGCAGGTAAAGACATGACACATTTAAAGGGCTACTGCAAAAAATAAAAAATGGCAGCATACAGAGTGTTCATGTGAACTGGGTTGGACAGCACAGACTTCTAATTTTATAAAAGTAATGTTTTTATATTGTTTTTTTATTTACTTCCAAATAAAACCAGATTTAATGATGAATATTTTTGCCAAAATGTGCGCATTTTTACGCATTTGGTGCACATTCAAAGAATGTTTTGTGACCAGGAAGTGCTTGAATGAACCATGAAACCTATTTTTCCCATTTCCTCAAACACACCATGTTTATGAAACAAACAATGAAAAATGTTTGCCTGTAGGCTCGTGGAGAGACAGGTTCTGGCCGGGTCACAGAGTTTTGGAGACGGAACAAGAAAGGATTGATGTCAACATTTTGGATTTAGCTAGTAGCGGATTAGTTTTTTAGACCAGACYTGTGTTAGAGTGTGTGCWGTGTTTGTAGTAGTGTTGTTAGTCTGTGTGTCAAAATGAGTCGTCGTTACATGACTGTGGAGCAAGCTCTGAAGTACTTCTATGAGCTTGAAGAAGAGGAGGAAAACAGTGCGCTGGTGGGCGATTAAGATGGAGTTTGATTTTGACGATGAGGTTCTTTGTTTGTTTGTTTCTTTGTTTGTTTATTTGGCATGGAATATGTAAAATGTTATAATCGGAACAGAGTCAAACTGTGCCACATTATACAAGCTGATTTCAGCTCCAGGTAGATGATCCGTCCATTTTCTTTGGGGAAGACAAAGAGGAGCAGGAGTTGCCCACCCACTCTGTCAGGCCCACAACACAGAAACCACATCGAAGTCAGACCAGAACCAGAACCCCGCTGGCTGCAGCAGCAGAGACAGCAGCTGAAACATATGATGGGCAGTGGAACACCAAGAGAACGCAGACACAACCCCTGTTGTAAGCCGTTTTCAGCCTAGGAGACCACCAGGAGTGCAGGAAGTTCTGCTGCCCCCACCCCCACCCCCCACAGTCCAAAATACCCTTTTTGTTGTTTTTTGCTTCTGATACAGTCAATATCATCTGTGATAACGCTAACAAACATGCTACAAAATAACAAGCTAGTGGAAAGAAATATAAATGGGCTCAAATAGACACAGAGGAGTTAWATAAATTTTCCTGGTCTAAATGTCTATGGTTCAACTACCAATGTTCAGGAATAATGGATGTTAAAAAAATATTTAAAATTGTAAGGTTGGAGAGATTTTGTGTTGGAGTCATTGTCACACATTTTGTAAACTGTTGTAAAAAATGCCTGGGAATTTGCACACAATTTAATGTAAAAACATGGATATAATTTTGTTTTATGCTAAATTTTTACACGTTTATGACATTTACACTATAGATTTTAATTATAGGTTAGAAAAAAGGCTCAATAAACATTTTTGTGAATTTTATAATAAAAATAGCCAAAACTTTTCCTACTCAGATTTTTTTTGTGCGTGTGTGTGTGTGTGTGTGTGTGTTTTGGTTCACTGTGATAATGCAGTTTGTCAAAATGAAATACATACTGTAAAATCATAAAGCTGAGGTTGTGTTGAAAATGATACCAAATAAGGTAAGGTAAATAGTTTTTAAGGTGYAAATATAAGGGTAAATTCAAAATTTGTCAAAAACAGCCATTTAGACCTCAGACCTTACAGCACAGGTGTCGAACTCCGGTCCTCGAGGGCTGCTGCCCTGCATGTTTTCTTGTTTTCCTGCTCAAACACACCTGATTTGCATGAATGGATGATTAACAGGCTTCTTCAGAATTTAAGGAGTTAATTGAAGCACTGAATCAGGTGTATTGAAGCAAAGAAACAAGGAAAACATGCAGGATAGCAGCCCTCGAGGACCTGAGTTTGACAACCCTGCCTTGAGGGTTAAAAAACACTAAATTATCATTTTAAGACGACTTTTCTCCGAGTGGTTAAAAATGGTCCAGAGCTGGATGAAATAACTCTTCTCTTCATAGTGTTGCTGAGTCACTTATCTTTGCCTATTGTCACAACTTCTCTCACTTTGTGTTTTTTTTCCTCTTACAGGAGGTCTGGCATCAGAAGACGAGTATCTGGAAATCACTTCTATTAGCAGACAGAGAGCAGGGACATATGAATGCACAGCTGTCAATGATATCGGCAAAGATGTTCAGACTGTAGACATCACTGTCAACTGTAAGTCCAGTTACTGAATAAAACCAAAATGGTTTAGAGTTTACAATACTTTTAAAAMGTTCTTTACAAAGATTTAATAAAAAATATGGATATCAGTCAAATCTTCAGCTCAGGTGCAGTTCAGTTAGAATGTTGTAAAAACATTCAATTTTGTCGGCCAGTTGTCAGAACTTCAGAAACATGCATCCAGAAAGGGAATACCCCAAACATACAAACAAATGTTCATACCTGGGGCACTGGAAACTGCTAAGCAAAGACTCCAAGCCTTGGCTTCCCGACTGAAGAGACACGCAAACTAGATAAAAGCCAGATGAATTAACAGGCTGTTCTTCACTGAATTAGCTTWAGTGGACTCCCAGTGGCAGAGTAAAAATACATGAGCCAACCCACCAAGGCTGGTGACTGAAAAATACTGGAAAGGTATTTGGGAGAAAGAGGCTTCACATAACATTGATGCACAGTGGCTAATAGACCTAATAGCAGACCACACTAATCTCCAAGAACAAAGTCTAGTGAACATCACAATGGCAGACATTCATTAAAGACTCTCGGGCATAAAGAACCGGACAACACCAGGCCTGGACATGATCCACACTTGCTGGCTCAAAACATTGACTAGGCTAGAGGCACAGATAAACCAACTGCTGATGAATGGGACCCACCCTGAATGGCTGACAGAGGGCTGAACATTCATGATAATGAAACATCCCCAGAAAGGAGCAATCCCATCCAACTATTGGCTAATAACTTGTCTCTCCACTAGAGGGAAGCTGCTGTCAGGCATCATAGCAGCTATGATAAGCAGGCACATGGGTCAATACATGACAGATGCACAGAAAAGCATTGGTAAAAATACCAGAGGAGCCAAACATCAGCTACTGGTTGATAAAACAATTGCCCATGAATGCAAAGCCAGACAAACAAACCTGTGCACTGCCTGGATCAATTACAAGAAACCCTACGACTTAATGTCCACATGGATCATGGAATAGGCCACAAGGAAAGCAACAGTCAAATACCTGCAACAAGTAAAGCAAATTTTGAGAAGTCAGCTTAATTCCAAAAGTAAGGTTCGGGCAATAAACTGCTTTTCTTTGCCACTAATCAGATACTCTGCTGGTTTAATAAGCTGGCCAATAGAGGAAATTCAGACCACTGATGTTAAAACATAAAAGCTACTCACCATACATGGTAGATTCCACCCCAAATCTAGTATCCACAGGTTATAAACTAAGCACGTACAAAGAATGAGCATCAGAGCCACCATCCGAGATGAAATATCCGAGCTCCAAGAATACATCAGGAAGGTGGCCCCAAAAGACGAAGCCCTTAGTGAATGTCTCAAACAATGGAAACTGGAAGAGGAGTTGAAGGAACCACCAAGGGAAGAAAACCTCTTGCATAGGATGTACCACAGACAGATAGCTGAAGTGGCTTATGTGACCAAACACTACCAATTGTTTGAGAGGGCAGTACAGAAGGACATGAGCAGGACTTGAGCACCACAGCAGTTGAGGTCCAGATCTACTATACCAGGCAAGATCCCAGGTGCAGGCTGTGCAAAGAAGCCCCAGATACAATGCAGCATCTTACAGCCAGGTGTACGATACTAGCAGGAAAGGAATACATCGAACACCATAAGGAAGTGGATGGTAAAGTGTACAAAAACATCTGTGTGGAGTATGAACTGGAGACCCTCCCAAGGGGGTTGAGAATGACATGTTTAGCTGTAATTATTTTCAATGTCTAATAAAAAGCATATGCACGGCGAGCCATTTCATTTAAAATGAAATAAATACAGTAACTAATAAAATAATAATAAATATTCCATCAAATAACTAAATGTCTCCTTGAAATAAAACAATATAAATATATGTAAAGTTTTTAGCACGCTTTTAATTCATTTTGTTAAAGATTTATTTAAAGATTTATATCTAAAAAGATAAGTTTTCATCTCATTTATTATTTACCACGCTAGAACTGGTCCAGATGCAAAACTACAACACTAGGCTATTAAAATCTGTACACATTTTTTCTACACTTATTGCAGAAAATTTAAAACCAAGTCTGTGATTTGTGAAACTTTAGTAAACATTTTACTATAAGTGTACAAATATCCAGTCTAGGTTTGAAGAGTCTTGGTGCTGTAGTTAGTGTGGTCCAGGTGGGTAAAAGTTCTGTAATTGTACTTTATTGAAGTTTTACAAATAAAATAAAGGTTTAATAAATCACAAACTTTGTTTTAAATATTCTGCAATCAGTGTAGAGTATTCTAGTTTAGGTTGACATGTCTAAGATGTAAGAACAGATCAAAGACGCTCAAGGTTGTGAAAAATTAGGTGGAATCGCCATTTAGCCATGTCCAGCATCGGAAGCAGCAATTGAAAACCAACTTCAGCTTCTTCTGAGCCATGGCACTGCAGGTTTTTTTTTTTTCACAAGTCAGCCTCACCGAGCCGCCCGGCTCATCTGCCTCCATATTGGTGTGGTGTGGGACTGAGAACCAAGGTTTTGGCAAAGAGCCGCGTGTCCTGAATAACCCATGGGTTAAGAAAACGTGTCAGTCCCAGATGAGCTGTCTTGTGAATTTCAAATTAAACGTTGAATCAAACAGAAATGATAAAATATTGTTCTTGGGCCAAAGTCATATTTAAACAGTATGTTGACTGAACTTTACATGTAAGCTTGAAACAGTGATGTATGTCATGAAACTTTACTTTTTACAAAATAAAATCATTCCTTTAAAACAATCAGAAATGTTAGCTTGTCAAATTAAGGTAGCTGTCATGTTCCCTTGTCCTGACCACACCTTCTTGCTCATTCCCACACTTGACCATATCCCTCAATGTCTTTTGGCACCGCCCACTTTGTTGGCATTTTTAAGCCACTTCAGCAGAAAACAGAACTGAATGTTAGTTTAGTTTCTTCATCATCAGTGACTTTTTTTTAAAAGAAGAGAAAAAAGAAAGAGAAGATGAAGGAGAGATTAGACATGTGAAATACAGTATAAACCAAGAAAACACAAGACAACACACCTATCTGTCTGCACACCTGTAAAAATGGAGAAAACAAAAACACAGCAACAAATAACATGCGTYTATCATAATAATTATAACTTTGCTGAAATCCATACATACATGCATACATACATACATACATACATACATACATACATACATACATACATGCATACATACATACATATACAAAAATACATTTACACATACATGCATTCATACAAATACATATTCACAAACGACTACATATCCACATCTATACTTACGTACACCCTCAATGGCAGTCAGAAACCCCAGAATCTGAACACCAGTTTATGTACAGTTGTGAACATGCATGTATATACAAGATTTTTCCAATGGAAAATTTAATATTTGACTGTGGAGACCCAAAGACCTGAACCCCAAGACCCGAAGCAGACATAAGTGGGACCAATGCCAAAGACTCCGAGAGTGACCCAAAGTGAAGAAGCACACCCAGAAGCACCAGCACAGAAAGAGCCGCACACCCGCACCCCCAGAGTGGACCATAGGACAGATCCAGGAGATCCCCCCCACCCCAGTGACCCCACGCAGTAATCCCCCGGGGCCGACAGCAGTGAGCTCACAGGCCCCGCCGGTATCCACCTCGCCAGAGCAAATCCAGGCATGGACACAGAGGCCCAGGCCCGCAGGGCGCACTACCCCCAGGCCAAGACCCGATAGGGCCAGAGGACCCAGGCCCCACCAGGCAGCCACCGGGCCAAGCAGGCACACACCCAAGCGGCAAGGCATTTTTCAACTTTGCCTGGGTGTGGGGTTGCTTTCACAGGGGGAGGGGGTTAGTTACACTTTAAATAAAGAAAGAATAAAATTAAAGCCATGTTTAAAAATTAATTTTAATATATTGATTTTTGTTTTATTTCATGGGGACAATTATTTATATGATGGAATATTTCTTACTTATTTATTAAGTACTGAAGTTATTTATTTATTTCATTTTGAATGAAATGGCTCTCCATACTCATGTGGCTCCATGGTTGTACTCAGGGCAGAAGGTAGGACTAAAAGTCTAACATGTCTAGAGAATCATGACCGCTCTATTCCAGTGACCTTTGACCTAAAATCTTTCCACAAAAGTGCCCCACATCTAGGTTTCCTAAAAAACCATTCTGCATTCAGTAACAACTCCTCAGCTCAGATAAAATGTTTAAACAATCTGTTAGGCTTTGAGAGAAAAAAAAATTCCTAAGAAAAAAATCTGTGTAATATTACTGAATTTTTAAAAACATGAATAATGTTGATTTAATGTTTGCAATAACTGAAGTATTCTTGCACCTTTTCTATGCTTTTTGTTTTAGCTTAATTTTAAGGCAGACAAATTGTAGTTAGTTGGGGGTTGCATGTCTTTGGACAGAGAAATTTATCTCAATAAGTCGAACAATCTGAGAGTTCCAAAACAAATTTTGGAGCCTTATAGTGGAGCTGGTATGTGTTGTATCAAACAGATGTGTGTTTCCAGTCTCTCCTGATCTGCGTCTCTTCATTTTGCAACTGGGCAAAGAAAAACGAGTTCGCTCAGGATTAATTCTAAAGAAGTACAGCAGAACAATGCAGTTAAATACAGAAGCTAAAACCTTTTTTACTGTGAAACCTGCCTTTAGGCTTTGAGATAAGCAATCACAMAGGTTGCCTGTCTCTGGTGGCTTTCCTCATCAGCTGGGCCAAAAAAGTCGTGTCCTCCTCATCTACCTTAGGGCAAATGAGACCCCTCCAAGTCCTGTGAATAAACTCCCCTCCTCACATGGAAAACCTGGACTATGACCCAGCAGAACCACACAGACAGACAGAGTGACCATGTGCTTCAGCTTCAACACTGTAGGAACTGGTATCTGATGAGAGAGACAGAGTCTGGTTATAATTTCAGCTATCTCTTCTATTATCAGTGTTACAGTATATAAATAACCTAATAATCTGACCAAATAAAAAAACATCCTTCATCCAAATAACAAAGTCAACTATTTATCAAAACATTTTTAAAATTCTGGGCAGAATAACCCCCAGTAATTATTTTTATTTTAGACAATAATATTTAATGTCTGATTAATTACTACTTTATCTCAGATTGTTAAACCATCATTTTAGACTTTTTTGGTTTTATATAATATTATAATGTCGTTCCCTCATCAAAACATACCCAGAGTGTTGCTTTGACTCATTCATGCATATTTGAGAAGCTTAAATCTCCTGTGGTAGCCTTGTGGAACTGCCTAAATGCTTGCTGGTACAAAGCTCCGCCCATTTATACCTAGCTCCTCCCTGGAGCTCAGTCTGCAGCACAGGTCCCACCCATAGAACACCCTTTCCCTGAAATATTGTTGTGAATATGTGCTCCATAAAGGTAGGAAGTTCTTAACAAAACAGAGACCAATTTCAAGGCGTTTAGATAGAACATGATGCAAAGTTCAAAGATTTTTGATATATTCAGCATTTTTATAATAACTGAAGGTAATATAGTGACTGGATTGTGGATTAAAATTGAATATGTGTCTGGAAAATACATACTACCCCCTTTAAACTGTTATTCTTTAAATTTGTATTTTTGTATCTGTTTTGGTTAAATTTTTATCATTATTATTTATGATTCTATTTTTGCTTAGATTATTTTGTAARACAATTGTCAAGACAAATTCAGCCTTTTGATTTGGTAAATATTGTGGTAAATAATGCTCTTTAATTAAAAGCTCAGTAGTTGAGTTCTGATTGGTAAAAGTGTAAATAAATTATAGAATGAACTCCTATGAGGTTTATTTAATTTTTACTGGTTAATAAACAGACTCTTGATAAGAGCGATATGAGTGTAGGAGAGAGGAGAAACAAATGTGACCCTTACTTTATTCCCTCATTACCACTTCATACACCAGTACACAGCTTCTGATCCCAAAATACAAAATAGCAGCTTCCATTAAACAGGTCCTGCTGGCTTCAAAACAAAAGGAGGAGGAAAATACATGTATTTAGTTCAGGGGTCTGCAACTTGCGGCTCTGGGGTCAAAATGTGACCAAACATAACAGAATAATTGTATTTTGGTTTTTATACCCACAACAGAAAACAATTTGTATGCAATTTGTGATCAATACTACGAATACAAAAAGTAAAACACGTTAGCTTATGCTAGCCTGTTTACTTAAATAATCCAACTTCTATCTCTCAAATCCATCAGAATTYCCTTTAAAGGATTTGAAGACTACATATGGTATAAGCTATATACAGTATTTTATTGTTTACACAAATCTGGTCTTTTCATTTGTRCTGATGTGTAAAAATATTAATAAATAATACAATTTTCAATATATCTTTTAGTTTTATAACGTCACCTCAACTGGCCGTAAAGATTACCGAAAAGGCATCGAAAAGGCCCACGGACCACCAGTTGATAATCACAGTCGTAGCTTGTTTTGCAGCTCTGGACACATTTTATTAGTGAGCCAAGTAGCAGAAGTGGCTCTTTTGATCGTAAAGMTTGAAGACCCCTGATTTAGTTAAATAATAAATGTTGAGGCAAAATGGAGGTTTGAGAAACTCTGCAGACTCTGTCATTGTTAGATGTGTGCTGACTGTAGTCCCGAACACTCTGCTTCTGTTTGTGATGTCTTCATGTAGACGCTCCGGCTGTGGCAGAAGGCAGAGATGTTGGGGTGACTCTGGGCCAGAGAGGAGTGCTGGAGTGTGAAGCTGATGCCGTACCTGAGGCAGACTTTGAGTGGTACAAAGATGACAGGAGGTAAACATTTTACTTTTAGAGTTTTAAGCTMTTTAAATGGAAGACATGAGAGTAAAAAAGACAATTTGTGTTTTTTTTCCCCTTAATCTGTGACCCTCTGTTAATCTAACAGTTATTAAGACTRCGGTCCCACTGAAAGATGACCCTGCTACATTTCCCATGACTGATTAGAATTTTGCAGGATCTGAAGAAGTTTGGAAAACCTCCTTCAGTGTGAAGGCATTCGTGATTCTGTTGTTCTCTTATGTCTTASCAAATGGGATTTTTCTACTTTTTTCTACATACAGTATCTGTGACCCTCTCCTGCAGCCTCACCACACTTTACATCAGCAGAACATTCCCCCAGTGATCCTATCAWATGCTGCCACTATGGCTCCGTGCTCCGACACAGCTCTGTCAGACTGAGAGAGTGCAGCTGACATAAAGGACAGAGCTGAACAGAGTCAGCCRACACAGAGCTGCAGGACTGGGTCACGTTTTAAAAGGCTGCACTGTTGAGTTAGCTGATGTGTTCACYGACATCTTTGTAATGTCTCGAACAGACCGTTGTACCAACAGTTTCAAACTGCCACCATCGTTCTTGTGTCTGAGAAAGCAGCTGGGGCCTCACAGCTTTTAGAAATTAGCATACAGATTAAAATAAGTTTGGTGCTGCCCACAAACTTCTGACCAATCACACAACGATTTCTTGTGCAGAGGACTGCGGAAAGTTCAACTCAGGCAACAAGAAGAGGTGGGCGATATGAGTCTGAGAACAAAACGGATTTTCGTCACACGACAGTGMTAGTGAGAGTGGATTTCACAGGTTTGGATGGACCATGAAGAGGTCCTCAGATAATTTACGTGCACTTTATTAACCTCAGCTGTATGTTCAGCTTGCAAGAGRGTGTTCATTGATGTGTGTTTACATCTACACATGCAAATCTAAACCTAAAGAAAACTGATTCTTGTTTCTCTTATTTCCATGTAACATGATGGATTAAATAAAAAGGATCTCATCAACACATTTTTAGGGGTCCAAACKCGCGGAGCAGGGGGAACGCAGCACGTTTGTCTGAATACTGTTTCTGTATTTTAGGAGTTCTTCTTAGGTGTACTGTTTGTATCAGTGCACTAAAACCAGAAGAAAGTGTCTACAGGGCATCATTTCTAACCTCCAGTGACAGTCTATTTTGAGAAGTTGATGGTATTGATTATTGTCAATAGGGGGAGAATATACTGTATATTAATATGATAAATCCACTGACAAAAGCAGGGTGTCGCCCTGTAACTGGAAWTAAGTAAAAATCTGAGAATGAAGCACTAAAAAAGTTCAAATTCCATTTAAAATTGTCAACATAATTGGAAAAACACAGAAAAAATGCATTGCCAGCTGAGTAAATAAGCATTTTACATTGTTTATAAGGAGGAACTACTTTGTGTGGTGGATGAATTTTGTTTGCCCTTATGGACCGGCTGTGCTTGGTAAAACCATCCATCTTCTAGTGAATTTTTTTATTTTTGCTAGGTTTTTACCTGAAGTGAAGGAGACGCAYRATGTAAAATCTAAATAAAAATATATATTCTGTAATTAGTTTGTAACATCTTTTTCTCTCTCTAATGRAGGATATTTAATGGTCTTGATGGCATGGAAATAGTCAGCACTGGATCCCAGTCAAAGCTGACCTTCTTTAATGCATCTGAGAGTGATTTTGGAAACTACACTTGTGTTGCCATCAACAAACTGGGGAACTCAAACACAAGTTTCCTCCTGTATTGTGAGTATAATTTATTTAACTTTTCTGAAAAAGTTGGGAAATTGTGTAAAATGTCAAAAAATATATTTAAATCTCATGAACACATTTTATTGCCAATGGGAACAAGATAAACATCAAATTTTTGAACAAACAAACTGTACAGCATGAACTGTGTTATTTGGGGTAAAAAATGTAGTTGTGAATTTTGTGGCAGCAACACATCTCAAAAAAGTTGGAATGGGGCCWTGTTTACCACTGTATCCCATCCCCTCTTTCTTTAACAACAATCTGGAAACATCTGGGCACTGAGAAGAACAGCTGCTGGAGGGTTTGGACGCCATGTTGTCACATTCATGTCTGTTGTAGAATTCTAGCTCTTCAACAATTGATTTTTAGGAGTCCAAGCCTGCAGAGCAGGGGAACGCAGCTGAAAAGCAGCAGCTTTTCCATGCCTCCAGCTGATCATAGAACCGTACTGTATCTGTTCCACTTATTATTATTATTATTATTATTATTATTATTAGTAGTAGTAGTAGTAGTAGTAGTAGTAGTAGTAGTAGTAGTATTAGGGGTCCAAGCCTATGGAGCAGGGGAATGCAACTGCAAAGCAGCAGCATTTCCATGCATGCTGCGGAGCCTGGAAACCTACCCTTTTAATTGTTTTTCATTATAATTGTTATTATTTTTCTTCTTACCCAAAACGTCATACTGCAGCCCAAACTGTAAGGAGTATTGAGATGATACTTAAGGGYTATAAACTTATGACCTACACAATGGGCCAAATAAAATATGCAAACATGTCAACCTATAGGGGGCATTATTATTAGGGTTTTTGCATTTGGTCTTTTGTCTTTTAAACCTTAAGTCACCATTTTTTTTGGTACAAAGCATCACAATTCCTASACACAACTGAGTCACATTATAGGCCATGTCCATTTCTGCAACATTTTTTATAGCACAAAAATTTGCAAAACCTACTTTTAGCTTCTTTTCAAAGATTTAAAGTCCAATCYCCACAAAACTCAACATCCTATATCTAGTTGGTATGCTGATTCTAAGTTTCAAAGGACATGTATTACATTTTTWAAATGTGAGGTATGCCTAGGCAAACAGCTTAGGCAAGCTAGCTAAAAATGAAATGCTGCCATATCTTGAAAACAGAAATACATGATTAGAAGAACATCATTCACCTGCTACAGGAGTCAGTTTTAAGTTAGTGGACTAATTTTGAAAATCATTGAGTCATACGGGGCACTATGAACCTCAAAAAGTTCTCACAAAAATGGTTTATATTCATGAAACTTTTCACAGACCTACAGACCCTAGACTTGAACCTAAACCTAAAAGATCATCATGCARAAGTAAATTTGGCATGGCCTATACCGTCTTAAATGAAAATGTTCACTAAATCAGTTATTACGGTGCCAAAACTGTCAGATTTTGAGAATTTTTTCACAGCAAAAATAAAACACACTAACATATTTATAATACTAAAAAAACACGAGTCCACCATAGGTGGCGCTAACTTAGCCCAATCAACAAAACTATTGTGGCTTCTTAATTGTTTGAGTGTTTTTGATTAAATATATGTTTGTTTAAACAGGCAATATTATGTGTTTCTCAGGTGTATATTTAAATTCCATACCAAAATTAAGTAACTATGTAACCTTCAGTTGTTATTAAAATTCTGTTTATATGTTTAAATAAAAAATAAACTTGACTTCTCATCATAGCCATTTCTAAATGCCTTGAAATTGGCCTCTGTCTCCTCCTTCCGCTTCTGCACGTCATCGCAACAGCTTTGTGTTGCTCTCTGCAGTTTACAACCTAGAGCGTCGTAGCCTATTTCGTTGCAATGATAATTAAAAAAGGAGTAACATCATGCAATATTGCTTTTGGAAAACTGCATCTCAGGATACATATCCATTCACATTTGCTGGGATGCAGAAGCTCAGCGTAGTTTCCTTGGCATGAAAATCATTTCCTCAAAGGCAATTTTAGTCTGAAAAAGGCTGGACTTAGAAGTAGTTTAGCATTAGCTCAGCAGACGCAATTTCACCGGGCGTTTGATTTGTTGCTGCTGCTAGCCTGCAGGAGTCGCGGGAGGAATTCTTTGGCATCTGACAGATTTTTTTTCCAAACACTCTTC